GCAACAAGGCTAGGATCTGATTGCTGATCAAAGTGTATCTAAATGCATTTTGTTTTACATTTTGGAAAGAGTAGTAAGATGTTAGAACCCCTGCAAGTGTGAATTGTTGCCTGTGTCCCTGCTAGGGGGATTCACCTTCTCCGTTTGTGCAGGCTGTTACTGTTACTATTGAGAAGTGAGGAAATATTTAAAATGTTGTATTGCCTCTACAACGGCAATATAATCTTTCAATTGGTACACATTTACACCTTTATTGGTTACAGCTGTCTCAGAAGGCATTTCCCCCACTTTTTAGAGATTTCCTCTCACTTGCTGTTGTAGGAAGTTAAGGGAAATCCCCCAGTTGGCAAAAAAAACTGATGTGTTTAACCATAACCTACTCTATCCAAAAGTGAAGAAAGTTTTGGCTTTAGATGTACATTAAAGGAGAACTATGGGGTTAAGGCTTTTCCCCATAGTTCTCCTTAGGGTAATGGGAGGACCAAACTAGCGTCCTCCCATCACCCTAGGCTCAGTATACCGCGAGCTGTAGCTTGCGGTATACTGAGACGCCGCAGATGAAGCGGATCCCGACAATTGTGCCGGGATCCGCCCAGCTGCGTGACTGACAGCTGGCTCTGCCTATCTAGAGGCAGAGCCAGCTGTACCCACCCCCTCCCCGTCCGTTCCGCCAGTCAGCGCTGGCGGATCGGAGCGGGAAGGGCGGAATCCAGCCCCTCCCCTGTCACGGCAGAGAGCCTTGACAGGATCGAGAGGTGAGCGAATGCCGGTATGTGTTTGCTCACCTCCTGATCTACTGAGCCGACCTGTGACAGTCTCATTGTCACAGGTCAGCTAGAACTATGAGCTGAGTGAAAAGCACTCACCTCATAGTTCTCCTTTAAGAAAGCAATGTTTCATACCAAGCCATGTAATATTTAAATAGTGGTGAACATTGGGCATGCTATACATGTTAAATAAAAGCGTGTAGTACTTGTAGCATATGCTGCCACTCACATCCATTTATCGGCAATTCCTGGCTGTCAAAATGACAGCCAGAAGTTGCTGTGTAAATACAGTAGCTGTTATAGCTGCTGCTGTCAAAAAACAGACCTTCTGATACAGTGTTTAAAAATACTGTTCAGATGCAGGATATAGAAAGACAAAGTAATGATATGATGTCAGTTAAACAAGCCAACAAGCAAAAAAAGGTGTTTTAAAAAATTAATAAAATGGGTTTCTAATTAACCCCTTATTCACCCTTACCTTTTAATCATTGCTTGTTTTACTGTTGCATTGAACAAAGTACATAATTGAGAAATGGTCTTTAATTCATTTGTAAATAACTTTGCAAAGCTTTGTACCAGAATCTTATTTTTTGTGTAATTACAGATTAATAACATTTTAATAAACTTTATAATTTGTATTACAATATACAAATAATACAATAATACAGTAACACTATTTTTTTTTTAAAGTAACGCTGATGAAAGTACAAAAATAATGCTTTTTTAGCTTTGTTACAATATTTGTATATTAAATGAATGAAAAAGTTTGCACATAAACAATATTATTCAAACTAAGCCTTGTTTGTCCTAAAAAAAGATATTGTGTTACTTTGTTATCTTAAGTAATGACAGAATTATTGCTGAATAAAAAGGTCCATAGCAGAAATGTAAAAATGGCAGTGGTCCATAGGGAGTATACAAGTGTAACAGTTAAAGTCACTATAAAGTAACCTACTGTATTGAAAAATGTGTATAGGCTACCATTGCTGATCTCTCCTACAAAATGCAAATAGCCTGGCATCCGGATTTTCCAAGTCACTGAACCAGAAGAACTGTGCAGATAGGACATTTTACTTCACTAGCTGCTTCCTTTTATGGCTCGGTGATTATTTATTTATCTAATATGTAAATTCATATGTTGGGGGGGCGAAAAAAAATTCTGCCCCGGGCGCCCAGAACTCTGGTTACGCCACTGTGACCATAGATCACCATTTTTTAACAGTCCAGGACTTGGTCTCTAAATGCAGAAAGGGATGAAGCTCAAAGAAGACATGATTGTTTCACAGCACTAGAGTTGCCAAAAATATCTGGCACCAATGTCCAGTCAAAAAGCCATCCAATGTTTGTCTGGTTATGTGTAGCAGATGTAAATAGTGAATTAATATTTATGATCCAGCAGGCTTATTTTTGGAGGCGATGGTTTATAGTCAGCCTCCAGTGGAGCTGCTTGACTGACACTTGAGAAACAGCCAGCCCAAGGTGGGGAGCAGTTAGTGAGTAGAGGCTGGAATCTTCCCTATACTGAAGATGAAGGTAATATGAAGGTGTATGGGAGAGGGTGTATGCAGCATGGGAGAGACTGGGAAGCGATCCTCTGCACACAACTGATCAGAAAAAAGCTTCTGAAGAGGAAAGAGGCTGAGATCATGACAGGCATGAAGTACTCAAGCTATCTGTCTCCTGTTTCTGCAACCCTAGAGGAAAGAGATCAAAATGCTGAGGGTAATTTACAGATTACCACTTCCCTGCACTTATGAAAAGGCACATTCACAATGGAATTGTATGCATAGTTTATTCATGTAACATGGTTTTACTGCACAAATGATATGAATGTCCTGAATTTTTTTTTTAACATTTGATAAATAGTAATATTATCTTATTCAAAGAAGATACCACAACATTAAACTATAACTTCTACTGCAATTGCAATGATGTCACTCTTTTAAATATATATTTTAGAGAAGTGATAGCTCTGCAATGATGCCATATTGATGGCATGACTGTTCACCTATCACAGTTGACTAGAGTGATTTCAGCAGTCATTGTTACACTTAGGAATGCAAGGCCACTTTTGCATGGGTTCCCTCAGTTCTGAACAGCAGGGATCCCCTGCTGATCATAAACAGATGTCAGCGTTGTAACCCATGTTTGTCTATGGGGAACCAGATGTAAACACAGACATGTGTCCGTTTACATCTGGTTTCCCCCGATTCCAGACTTGGCTGGAGTTGGGGGTAATTGGATGTAAACGGACACACGTCTGTTTAGATCCGGCTGCCAATAGGCTAACATTGGGCTTTCGATCAGATCCGACTGAAAAACTGACAGGTGGACCTGATCGGAATTGCTGTGTGAAAGGGGCCTAACAAATGTCCTCTTGTTTCTTTTGGAAGGTTCCCCCTATATTGCTGGTTTGCGGACAATAAAAAGTTTAGATATCCCTCACTTAAAGTTCCATTGACAATTGTCACTAGGAGTTGGTGAATCTTCCTAACAAGACAGCAATTCAAATTTGACAGGGATTCTAATCTATCCATACTCTATAGAAAAATAAAAAACAGAGAAAGTGTCTAAATGTGATATTAACATTTGTATTTAAAGAGCATCTTCACTGAAATCAGATTTAATCATTTTGGGTGGAATGTGGTAGGGTTTAAAGACTAATGTCATGTAGCGCTCACCCCTAAAGGAGCCGCCAGACTAATTTGGGTCATCACTAACCTGTCTAAGGATTTTGGTAACCAGCTGCCCCATTAGCATTAACCGCCCTCTTCTAGTGACCAATAGAGCTGATATCCTTTCCAGAAGAACTTTATTAACATATCTACACCGGGAGAGAGGGTATAGGGGCCTAGACATCCAGGGTAGAAAAGCCACAGACTCAAGACTCACCATTTCCTTTTAGTAATTCAGTGTAGATCCATTTGCAGCACAGTTGAATAGAGATTGGCACAACAGTAAGAGCCCCAGTGATTGGCTGGTGAACTGCACACACACTCACAGTGCGCCTCATTGTCTGTCCCACACTGCAGCAGAGTCATACTCCACTCAGGAAGCTACAATCAGTGCCAGAACACCTGGAATTAACCAGATATTTAGCCAGACTGACTAAAGCTCTGGCAATCACTACATTTCTAGTAGCCAACTCACCAAAGGTGATTGGGGCTACAGTCACTTTTGCAAAAAATAAATAAACAAACTCACACTGATTAAAAACAAAATCTTAATTATTTTTTCATTTTTGCAAAAAAGGCAAGAGGCAGATTGCCACCGTTATCAGTGCAATGCTTGGGCTCCTGCAGACTCTTCCTCCAGCTCCTGTCCTTACCGAAGTGCAGATTTTTGGTTACAGGGCTGGAGGACGTTACCAATGGACTAAAAGTGCAATGACATCAGCACATTTGTGTTCCATTGATAACTAACTGTCTCTCTGCAGGTCTTTTAATTTAAAGGTCCTGTGAATGAATCTATGAATAATAATGCAGCTGTGCAGGCAAAGATTCTGTTGGGAGAAGCACCCCACAATATAGTAAGAAAGGGGAAGGTGTGAGGGTGGGGGTCCGAATTGTAACCCTGTTCCTAAGTATGGGTGTTACATATGGGTGAATCATGGTCTGTAGGATAAATTAGGCTTTAATCCCTTACTGAGCCTTTACTGCTGTCTTCCCACCACCAGCCAGGCTGTTATAGAGTGAGCTCAGAAATATACAGAAATAAATGTATACTCTGTATAATCCTAAAAGGAGTCCATTGGTAGCTCAGCTCAAAAGCAGAGGTAAGTATATTACAGCTGTTCCAGGAGTTCAGGAAGATCTCCCATACAGCCACACAGACCTGGGTGGGTTCAAACACTATTTCCCTCCATGCAAGACAGAGCAATAAATATGGCTGGCATTGCCCCCTAAAATATCTTCTTAACACATGCAAATTGAAATGTTTTTAATGTTTTAGGGACAAATAAAACTTCTGTATCATTAAATGTGTGTAGCATACTGTGTATCCTGTAAATAGGTGACAACATAAAAGCTACAGTGTTTTCTTATAGAGTACTTTCATAATTTACATGGACATTTTCCATTATGTGAGTACATTTGCGGTAAAATTCCTCATGTGCTAGTAAAGATTCAATCACCCTTCTTCTAAATTACGCTCCATTTGTCCAGGATTCACTCTGCTCAGCAAATAAAGGATGATTTAGTAGTTTATGGTTCACATTTATCTTTTCTTTTGCAGTTCCTTATATGTGGAGTGTGCGGTATCTTCTGTGCAAAAAAGAAATCTGGCCTCATAGTAAGTGCCTCTGTTTGAAAGCATGGTTATAATAAGTGAATTAAACTGTAGTTAATTTTTAAATGATGCTTGCAATATCTGTGCAGAATTACAGGGTATTAATCCACCTGTCAGAGGTAGAATTGCGTGGCATAAAATAATAATTTCATCCAAAACTTTCATAACTTTCATAATTTCATCCAAAAAATAATAATTTCATCCACCCCTTACATCCTAAACTCAATTAAACTTGCTGTACTGAAACACACTAATAAATTGGATGTTTTTAACGAATAAAATAAAATTCCTGCACTTTAATAAATCCTAGCAAATGTGTGTCTGTTCCAGAAGAGGAAAGGTTGGGGATGTTACAAGGAATGCTGAAGAAGTATTTAATACAAACAAGTGTCAATAAGAATCATAAACACAATCTTGTTGTGAAGGAAAAATTAAAGTTTATGTGCAAAAGAGGAGCGGCTGACAGTGTGACACTGGGTATTTTCTACAGGACAAGACTGTTTGAGGGTATGACAGTGGGCCGTATCTGTAGGGCAGGAATGCTAGAGGGTGTGATAGTGGGCAGTATATACAGGACAGGGCTGCTAGAGGATATGATGGTGTGTCGTATCTACAGTACAGGTATGACAGTGGGCAGTATCTTCAGGCTACAGGTGGTAGAGGTTATAACAATGGACAGTATTTGATGGACAAGAGCCTTAGAAGAGCCCCCAGTATCTCCTTTCCAGCTCTGACCTGGATGTCCATCTCCTTTTATTAAGGTTTAAGAAATTCTAAAGCTATAAAACTGACACCCCTGACTAAAGCAGAACTCCAGCTGAAAAAATCTAAATACATAGCCCAGTAAGAGTAAAAATAAAAAATCAGCTTTTGCTTACTCACTTTCAGGCCAGAGCTGCCTTTGACAGTAATACCATTTTGCCATTAGATATTGCCAGTCTTTCAGGGTGAATGATGGCCAGTGTCATTCAACCCACTTCCTCTGAGCATTGAATGGGGCTCAGATGCCATTACATGAGCCCCACTGCAGTGCAGCAGTAAAGACTGCCCACAGCTGCTGGAAGAGGAAGGACTCATGGCATTGTGCAACAGGCCGGAGGACCTTTGGCAAGAAGTTATGTATATTTTGTTATCCCTTTTTTACTGCACAAATCCATAGATTAGTAATTAGCAGAAGATTATTTTTGCTGTATAAATTCTGGCCATAAACTATAATATTCCCAATCTCAAGCTGCACCTCTAACACCGGAGGAGGCTTAGGTTCCATTTACAGAAGCTTTTTAGGGCCAGCAGCAGATTCCTGTGGCTAGGTTCACAGGTGGTTCTGGACAGCTGTGGCCTCTGCCAGAATCTGCTCATTATTGCCACAAGGACTGTTACCGGCCTACAAAGCATGTGCGAATGTGACCTAACACGGATTCCTCAATACTTGCTGAAAATGGCTCATTTATTTAGGGAGACAGATGACAAAAAACTGACAGAGGCTCTAAACATCCCCTGCTCTATCCAAAAATAATTAAAATGTTGGACTGTTGCACAGTTTAGATCTCTCGACACATAATATAACCATGTTATACATTTAGAAAAACATTACACTTTTTCTGAAAGATTTTTAATTTTTCTAGTGTATTTATGTCTCTTTTTAAAAACATAAATTAAAATTTTTGTTCCTGTGAGTGACTACTCCTGCTCCTCGGCATGTCACATGAGCCTCCCATGATGTAATATTACCTTGCTCAATTCTTTACTAGCGGGTCTATTCACTAAGCTGCCGAGGGCAGCCGAGTGAACAACCGACCCCAAGTGAAGTGAGCCGAATTCACTGTTTGGCTATTCACTTCAGGCTTGTACGGCTGATTTAAGCCATATATCGGCTGAAATCAGCCGTACATCGGCTTGCTTCGCATGGCTTCGGGTCGGCCGAACATGCTCAGCATGTTCGGCTGACCCAAAGTGAAGAAGGAGTTCGACGTTGTTGGATGTTGGATGTTGGATCGGCTGAGCCGAACCTCCGGCAGGCTACTCACTGATGTTCGGCCTATTCTTATAGATGCAGTGATTGAATAGACGAATGCCGCTGAGCGGCATTCGGCTCAGCTGTTCTGCTCTGTCCCGAACCTGAACCGAGCAGAACAGAAAAATAGTTTAAAAAGTTTAAAAAAAAGTAAATAGAAAACGATTGTGTGGAAAACGATTGTGTCAGAATAAAGAAAAAAAAGAAACAGCAGTGTTTCTCTCCTTTGCGGCCGGGAGCAGGAGACCCTCGGAGAGCCAGGGAGCGTTTGCTGTTTGGAGATCAGTGTCCCTGGTTAGCAGGTAACCAGGGATCCTGATCTCTCTGCAAGTGGCCGGAGCCAGCCGTAAGATCACGGTTGGCTCCGCCCAGCTGTCAGAAGCAAGCTATCAGCTTTCAGCGCGGCTCAGCCAAGCCCATGCCTATGCGTTCGGCTCTACTGAGCTGCTCAGCCACGTTCGGGAGCTGTGCAGGCTATAGTGAATAGCCCGTACAGCACCCCTTCGGTTCTAGTGAACCAAAGGGGTCTCCTGGGGCCGAAGCTAGCCGAAGGATCGGCCAAAGCTACGGCTAGATCCTTCGGCAGCTTCGTGAATAGACACCTAGGTGTAAGCTTTTCTTTTATTCATCATGATGTAATAGAGGGAGTAGGTACAGACACATAAGGAGGGGTATAACAAAGGTCGATGCATGCTGAAATAAATGTGCCAATTAATAAAAGTGGTCAAGTCATGTCATTTATTTGTCACATGGTGATGTGCCAGATTTGTGCCCATATCTGGGGTAATTTTCTTCTGGGATCATCCTATATTTTTTCTTTTTGCTCTCCTTCCTGCATTGCTGCACCTTTCTGGCCGTCCATACACATCCCCCTCTCCATAACCCGTTGCCATGCTGTCACCCCTCCTCATTACAATATTTACATATTTACACCACTCTGTTAATGGTGTATATTTTAGAACAGTATTTAAACTGGAACATTGACACAAGTGTTTCCTTATTTTATAGAAACTGTTGCATAGCACTTTTAACATGATTTTGTGTGGCTGATGCAACATCACATAGAACTATCTTATAGCATTTTTAATTTGATGCACAGAAAACACACCAACATTTTCACCACAGAACTGATGATTTTCCCTTTCTTAATTCCCCTCATAATTTCTAAGGGTGTTATTCACCAAGCTAAAAATATCTGTTCAACAAGTGCAAAGAAAATAGCTATCAGGGTTATGTTTTGCTATTAGCAGCTCTTCAATTGTGTGCAATATTTTTACTTAGACCAGAGTTAAATTGTATTATCACTGACCTTTATATGTTCTTAGAAAGAATAATGAATCAATGGGGTTCATTTAGTAAACACAAACAGGCTGTTTACTTTGCAAGGGAATTTCCACTATGCAGTGGAAATTTCCCTTAGATTAGAGAATGTGGTGAAAATTTACTTTGCAAAGAATACCTAATCATGTGCAGGAAAAAGAACAAAAAAAAAAGATTTTTTTTCCCGGTACATGATTGGATGATGAAAGTCAGCAGAGCTTCACCTCATTCACTAATCTAAGGGGAACCCACGCCCCCCCAGCCCTGTAAAGTGAACATTCCCTTGCAAACTGAACAGCATATTTGCCTTTATTAAATTAACTCCAATGAGTCTGCAATTTTCTACTTACAGCAATGCACTGATGTGTTATTATATATATTGTTTTCTAGATGATTCTTTTTTCTGCCTGCTGCATCTGCGGACTCATCGGAGGTATCCTGAACATTCAATTCCTAAGGGCTCTGTCCAAGAGGTCCTCCCTGCACCTTGCCTCCTTGTCCCTGGCATGTATAGGTATCAGCGGATGCACCATCTCCACTTGGCTTACTTGTCGCTTGGCCAGTTATGAGCAAAGGAGGATGTTTCTAGAAAGAGAACATTCACTTCATCACTCCCATGAAATGACAGAAAAGGTAATTAAATAATAGGTTCTTACGTAGCTGGGCTACACAAGCCTCTGACAATTGGCACTTATTGTACTAAGTATGGGGCAAGTGAAAAGTTAGAGGGTAATCAATAGCTGAGTGCTCATTATTACTTTCTACTCTACAGAGGAAAGTGAGAGCTGGAATTTGATTGGTTGCTGCAGACAACTCTATAGTTTTATTTTCTCTTGCTTTTACACATCAGCCTGGTGGGCTTGAATAATAAAATCAGTAATACACTCTACCAATTGTTTGCTTGGTAAATAAATAAGCAAATTTAATTAAAAAAAAACATGCACATGATATGGGCATACAACCCTGGATGCAGCTAGACCATGTCCAAGAACATACAGCGTTAGGCATGCATGGGCATATGCAAGTAGTGTGGTATAAACCCCTGTACAGCCTCCTACACCTATTCACTACTACGGGCAGCTGTACGCCACAGTTGGTTATTGGAAACAGACAGAAATACACCCACAATTTAATTTTTTGTGTGCCTGTGCCGCATGAGTCCTTAAGGGTGGGGCCAAAAAATATGCTGTTTGGCAATATTGAGTTAAATACATAAAACACTGAATACATTATTTATAAACAGGGCTGCTGTTACCATAATGGCACCCAGAGGCCAGTGCCTAGGGCGGTGGTGTTAAAGTGGTCAGCACTAAAGCTATATAGAGCCATAGTTGGAAGGCTCTATATAGCTCAGGAAACATAAATTCATTCTTTCTTTTTCTTGTTTACTGGTCTGTGCTTTAAAAGGAGTTTTGCATATTAACCAGATAGAATGTTTCTCCAATATCACATTCTATCATTAATTACTATTAAAATAATCATATGACACAAGGGTAGGCCTTGAACAAAAGGGTGTAATCATTCAAATATTCCTAGAACAACATGATGTCTAAATACAGACTACAGCCTAAATATGGTATCAAGAAAAAGCCTCACCTCTTGTAATGAAGAGGGGCTTGATAAATCTTTTAGCATTTAAGTGGTAGAGGTGAACCCCAGGCAGATATAAAAGACACAAATTAATGCAGCTCTAATGCAGCATCATCACTACATCATTATTGCATTTTTAAATGTAAACTCTGTTGTACTGCGGTGCTCATGTGCTAACAGGGAGCAAGAGCAGAGTGACAGATGAGCTCATCAGTCTGCCGCTTTTCCATTCACTGCCCAATCACAGTTGTGGGGAGGGGAAGATACCTAAAGGGTTATTCACAAAAGAGCCGAAGGATCCAGCCGTAGCTTCGGCTGATCTTTTCGGCTCGCTTCGGCCGCCTGAGCCCTTCGGTTCAGCCGAACCGAAGGGCTGCTGTATGGGCTATTCATAATAGCCCGTACAGCAGCCAAAGGCAGCCGAGCGACTCAGCCGACCCGAACGCATATGCTTTGGCTCGGCTAAGCCGTAGTGACACCCGAAGCGGGGGAGAAGGTCGGCTGAAGCTGACCGTCCTTCCTGCAAAAGACAACAGCTGGGACAAAGCCAGCTATAATGCCACGACTGTCTCCGCCCAGTTGTTATCTTTCAATGACAGCTCAGCGTACTCGAGGACACTAGGCTGTCATTACATGTAAACAGTTGGATGGAGCTAGCTGTGATGTCACCACTAGCACCGCCCATATGTTTATTTTGCCGACATCTATCAGAATGCCATTCTGTGGCGGGAGTTCGTTGCGAGAGGACGGGTGGCGAGCGTAATTTTTTTTCTTTATTATTTCTATTTATTTTGTTTTATTTTTTATTTCGGTGAGTCGTCGTCGTCATGAACAACGCTGGACCTCGTGATTGACCTAAGGATTACATCGGTGAATCCATTTTTTGGGGTTTATTTTTTTAATTAAAGACAACATCCTTTTTTTTTTCTTCAAATAAAGGATTGTTTTAAAAGTCTGGTCTTTTTATTTACAATGTATTTATCCCTTTAGTGAATGGGTAGGAATACAAGTACTACTTACTTATTCACAAGGAGGAGGGGGGCGGAGCACCTGGGTGCCCCCTGCCCACAGACCTCCACAGCCAGTGCCCCAGGGCTTGTGCGGAAGAGACCCTTGTCCTCATTGACATGGGGAAAAGGTGCTTTACCAGGGGCGACCATGGAAAAGCACCCTACAGGTGCAAGGGCATGTGGCCTGGTATGGCAGGGAGGGGGGAAGGGCTGCTCGCTTTCCTCCCCATTTTCCTGCCCTGCCAGGCCTGTGCTCGGATCAAGGATCTGGTTGGGAATTTCAGGAGGGACCCCACATCTCTTTTTTCCTCATTTTTGGGTGTGGGGTTTTTTTTGGGGGGAGGGGAACCCCACACTTTTTTTTTTTTTAAATAGGGCCCCTCCTAGCTTTCCTACAATACCTGTATGGTTTGGGAGGGGGGCCCCACGCTGTTTTTGCTTCTTTAAATGTTTTTTATTATTTTGTTCACTTTTTTAAATGTTTCCATTTTTTGTACATTTATTTAAATAATTTGTAAAAAAAATGTTTTCATTTATCAACGTTTATTTCTATTCTGCTCGCTACCTCAGAGGCATTCAGGCTCGGGGCATTTAGCTATTCGCTCACTGCCGTTTGACCCCCATGAGAATAGGGGTGAACGGTAGCTAGTGAGCTGCCAGAGCTTCGGCTCAGCTAATCCAGATGTTAAATTGACTGAGTCGAACTCCTTCTGCACTTCGGCTCAGCCGAACATGCAGAGAATGTTCGGCTGACCGAAGGCAGCCAATGTACGGCTAATTTTAGCATGTACGGCTGAAATTAGCCGTACTGAGTTGAAGTACATAGCCTAACGTTGTTCGGCTCTGTTCACTTCGGCTTGGTTATTCACTCGGCTGCCTTCGGCAGGTAAGTAAATAACCCTCCTAGTGTTACTCAACTGCGGCAGAAAAAAAATCAGGTCTCCTGCCAGATGGGAGAATGCTGTGTAGTAGATCTATGAAAGAAATACCAATTATTTGCTTGTTTGTCAATAGTTCCTATATACTGTATGTATTTCATCTGTATATTTAGCCACTTTAAACATGTATAAAAAAAAGGGAGGGGTAGGGAAGTATCACCTATATAAAGTTTACTTGATTTCAACTTCCATTCGATATCAAATAAACTATTGCTAATTCCCCTACTTGTGGAGACAATCCAATCAACACATAAATCATGCCATATATTAAATTTGATGTCCATATGTATCCTTTAATAATTATTATGTTTAAGATGTCTATGACATCTAAAATGTTTCTTTCTAAAAAGAAGACTTTTTCTAAATGTTTAATATGTGTGAGGTTTTTTGGTATTTTCTACCTAATATTTATTGAAGGATACATTTGTACATTTACATTTAGTACATGGTATGATTTATGAATTGACTGCATCGTCCCTATAAGGAGGGGAATTAGGAATCGTTTATTTCATATTTAGCGGCTTGCCTGGAGTTTAACTTGAATGATTTGCACACAGAATGCTTAATGTTCACAATTATCCCTTATCTGTGTAGATTCTGCACCTTGGGTTTAGGGATGACAAATGTTCTACTTGATACTAAAGGACTGCTAGTGATTTTCTGTCTATTTGTCTAAGTCTATTTGGGTTACATGGTTCTCAGAAATTCTTCTGGGT